CCGGAGGTGCCCCCGAGCGCTTGGGGGTCCCCCCAAAGTGACACCAGACCCCCCCAGGGGTCCCCCCCAAGACTGCTGTACCCCCAAAGTGAACTGGGGCACCCCCAAAGTAAACCCCGACCCCCAGGGCTGCCCCCCCCCAAAAACTAAACTGGACCCCCACAACACCGGAAGGGCCCCCCAGCATAAACCAGAGCTCCCCAAAACACCTGGGGGTCCTTCTGGGACAGGGGGCTGCACCCCCAAAGTGAACTGGGACCCTCAGCGCTCCCCCCACACATTTGGGGCTCCCTGTGGGCATTGGGGCTGCACCCCCAAGGTGAACTGGCCCCCCACAACTTGCTGGGGCTGCCCCGAAGTACCTCAGGTTGTACCCCCAAAGCAAACCGCGACCCCCAGGGCGACCCCCACAACAACCTGTGACCCCCAGGGCTCCCCCAACGCAAACCGGGGCCACCAGGGCGACCCCCAAAATAACCTGTGACCCCCAGAGCTCCCCCAAAGCAAACCGGGACCCCCAGGGCTCCCCCCAAATCAAACCGGGGCCCCCAGGGCTCTCCTCAGATATTTGGCGCTGCACCCCTAAAGCAAACCGGGACCCCCAGGGCCCCCCCCAAATCAAACCGGGACCCCCAGGGCCCCCCCCAGAATAAACCAAGACCCCCAAGGCTGCCTCCAAAGCAAACCGGGACCCCCAAGGCTGCCCCCAAAATAATCTGGGACCCCCAGGGCTCCCCCAAATCAAACCGGGACCCCGAAGGCTGCCCCCAAAGCAAACCGGGACCCCCAGGGCTCCCCCAAATCAAACCGGGACCCCGAAGGCTGCCCCCAAAGCAAACCGGGACCCCCAGGGCTCCCCCAAATCAAACCAGGACCCCGAAGGCTGCCCCCAAAGCAAACCGGGACCCCCAGAGCTCCCCCCAAGTGGTCTCCCCACCTCTCCCCCAGCCCCACCCCGCAGCCCCCTCCCCGCTGACCGTCGCCGTCCAGGGGCGCGAAGTCGAGGCCGTAGCGCAGCAAGAAGTGGTTGTTCCACACGTACAGCTGGTTGTCGCGGGGGTTGTAGCCCACCGAGGCCACGAACTGGTACGGGTTGGGGAAGGGCAGCGCCAGCGCCGAGCCGCGCCCGCGCCGCGTGTCGAAGGCGTAGACCAGCGCGTTGCCCAGGTGCTCCGTGTCGTCGTCCAGGTAGACGCTGCGCACCACGTAGAGCACCCCGCAGGCCATGAAGGCGTCCGAGGCCGCCCGCTTGGCGTAGCCGGTCTCCCAGGTGCCCTCCAGGCGCAGCGTGTAGGGGTTCAGCTGGCTCACCACCAGCCGCCCGCCGTTGCCCTCGGTGGCGTAGATGACCCAGAGCCCCTCCTCGTCCACCGCCAGGTCGATGTCGGTCTTGCCGCCCCAGCGGTAGGGAGACGTGTCGTGATAGTTGGCGGCGCCCACCACGGTCTCGCCGCTCTTGATGCGGGTGCGCAGGTCGTACTTGACGATGCTGCGGGTGCGCTCCTTGTTGTAGAACACGGCGCCGTCGTACACCACGAAGCCGGTGCCGTCGGCGCGGTGCGGGAGCCGGTGCGTGGCCGCGGGCCGGGCGCCCACCAGGTCGGCCCAGGAGGCGTACTCGGTGAGCGTGTCGGTGCGGTACGGCACCCAGGGCAGCACGTAGAGCCGGTCCCCCGACTGCAGCGGGTCCCGGCACCAGCCGCCCGCCTGGTGCGGAGACTCGTGCGTGGACAGCGCCGGCCCCACGCGCTGCGGCACCCCCGGGCAGACGAAAACTGCGGGGGGACACGGGGGGGGGCACGGGGAGGGACGGACCCAGGGCAGCACGTAGAGCCGGTCCCCCGACTGCAGCGGGTCCCGGCACCAGCCGCCCGCCTGGTGCGGAGACTCGTGCGTGGACAGCGCCGGCCCCACGCGCTGCGGCACCCCCGGGCAGACGAAAACTGCGGGGGGACACGGGGGGGGGCACGGGGAGGGACGGAC